CAGACCCTTTATATACCTAAGGTTATTGCCGGGGGGATAAGACCCGGGGATGGTATTACCTTACTTCATGGGGTTCCCACACTCCATTCGTGCTCGATCTGTCGACCTCCATCAAAGAATGGAAGAGCTCGTGGTGCTGGGCTGCAGGGCGATGGGACATGATGGAGGGGGACCCCCTAGCGCCTCTTACGGTCCCGCCGAAATACTCAACACTTAGTGAGTATAGTAGTTGTTTTTTCTTATATTTCTCTTCGGTTCGAATTGTGCCTAACATTTACATTTCCTTTGTAGGTGCTCTTCCTCGGTGCGAGCTGTCATCCGAGGACTTTGAAACCATCTGCATCATCTATCAGCTGCCTCATAAGAAGAGGTCTTACCATAGGCTGATCCAAAAGAACATCCACTTCATTACTTACGATCTGATGGCATCCTAAGGTAACTGGACCGAAGTCTTTACTTTTTATTCTGAACTCTCAACACTTGTATTAATTCCTCATTCACTCTTTGCAGACAACTTTAATAAGAAGATGCCGGTGTGCCCCGACTTTAAGACCATCTAGAAGATGATGGCAGAGGCACGGGCATTGAAGGCCTCTTCCTCCTCGTACAAAAAGCAAATGGAGGATTTGGTGGAAGCCAGTAAGAGGCTTCAGCCTCCGACGGAGGAGGAGGTACCGAAGGACCCGTAGGCTGACCTTCGGAGGAAGGGTAAGAGGAGTGCTGCCCTTCCAAAACGCTCAACTGTGGCGAGGCCACCCCCTGCTCTGAGGCAGACCACAATTCCTATCGGGGTGGCCATTCCGAAGAAGAGGCCCGCCCCAACTGAGCCTGCCACTGCCTCGGCCACAACACCCCTCGCTGTCGTGCCAATTGATCAAGTGTCGGGACAGCAGAAGAGGAAGAGGCCCCGTCCCTCTAAGGAGGTCGACTTTCTGGGCACAAACCCGGAGGAGCCTGTAAGGAAAGTTTTGGAGGCTCTTCCTCCAGAAACAGCTACGGTGGCGGTGGCGGTGGCGGTGGTCCACAGTAAATATTGGACTGAGGAGTGGAGGGACCACACCGCCTCCTGCACAGCTGAGGATTTGGTGGCTGCGAATAGCGCCTGCGTGGCTCAGGCCCTGAGTACAAGCATCCAGTTTGAGGGCTTGGTAAAGGATCTGAAATCCAAGAGGGAGGACCTCGCCAAGCGCCTCGAGGAGGTGATGCACTACGGGAATGCCGTGCGAGCGGCCCAGGCCAAGGTCACGCTGGCGGAGGAGAGGAAGAAGGAAGCTGAGGCCCAGCTAACTACTGCCAAAGCAGAAGTGGAGCAGCTGAAGAAGGAGTTGTACAAGGTGGAGTGCCAAGTGGCTGCCGTGACTCGGCGGCTTGATCAAGCCAATGAGCACCACAAGCTAGACACCGAGGCTCTGGAAGCCTCCAACAAAGAGAAGGCGGAGCTGAGGCAGAAGGCAGAGGCTCAGTCGAAGGAGATTGCCTCTTTGAAGGAGGAGTTGAAGTCTGCAGGGGAGGTGGTAGTCTAGAACTTCATCGACCACTTTGAAGACCATCTCATGTATGACGACTTCGCCAATTTTTGGGCCTTATGGAGTGCCCAAAGCTTATTGGGTCGACTGAAGGAGGTGCACTCCACTTTGGACATCTCCTCATTGGAGGCAGAGTTCAGGGGACCAACTGGAGGTCGGCCCGATAGGCTTGCTGAGGAAGCTCCGGAGGCCCCGGAGGCGGCCGATGTAGAAGTCTCTCCAGCAGAGTAGGGCTACCTTTTGTAATGGCTTCGGCCCCCTTGTACTTAAATTTATTCAATGAAATGAAATTTTTGCTAAGTATTTGTGCTTTTGCTTTTTTATCTTTTCTATCTGTTCATACTTGTATGAATGACAAGCGTCGGAGTAATTGCCTCGTAACAGTAGCCAGTTAATAACTGCGGACCGGACCACTCAAGTTAATATAAGTTGAATCACTTAAGCGAGTATGAAGTGACTCTTAATGCTAACCTGTTAATAATTTGAGATCAGACACTTAAGTTAATATGAAACGGACCATTTAAGCAAACATGAAGAGCCCTTAACGTTAATCAGCTAATAATTGAAGATCGGATCGCTTAAATGAACCTATTGAAGGACTGAGGAAACTATTTACCAAGGTAATTCCAGCACTTAGGGAAGTTAAAACTGAGATCAGATCAGAACAATCGATTCATTATATCATATTGAGATCAGATCGGAACAAAGTCTCATCATTGATAGTACTTCCTCAAGTGTTCGATGTTCCACTGATGAGGCAGCGCCTTTCCTGCCATATCTTCGATTTCGAAGGTACCAGGTCGGGATTCCCTACGGATGCGGTAAGGGCTTTCCCAGTTCGGGCCAAACACTCCTGACCCGGTTGGTTTTGAAGATTGGAAGACTCTTCTGAGGACCAGGTCGCCCAGGCGAAGAGTTCTGTTTCTGACCTTGGAGTTGTAATAGCGGGTCATCTTTCGATGATACTTTGCCAAGTTCACTTGGGAGGTTTCTCTCCTTTTCTCAAGGAGGTGTAGTTCGCTTATTCGAGCCTCGTCGTTGCTGATCTCATTGAAATGTATCCGTCGATTTGATGGGACCCCGGCTTCGACCGGACTCATGGCCTCGGCTCTGTAGGTCATAGAAAATGGTGTTTCACCGGTTGCAGTCCAACAAAAAGTCCTAATAGCCCAAAAGACGTGGGGGAGTTCGTCAACCCAGGCCCCTTTTGAGGTATCAAGTTTCCTTTTCAGGGTGTGTTTGATAGTCTTGTTCACTGCTTCAACTTGCCCATTCGCTTGGGGGTGATGAGGTGTCAAGAAGTTCTTCTTTATGCCCAGTTCGTCGCATAAGTCTCGCATCTTCCTGTTATCGAACTGCCTTCCATTATTAGACACCAAGGAGTGGGGAATACCGAATCTACAAATGATATTTTTCCAGACGAATTTGGTAGTATTAGTCTCGGTAATCCTGGCAAGGGGTTCAGCCTCGACCCACTTAGTGAAGTAGTCAATGGCGACAATGGCAAAAGTTGCACTTCCTCTCCCTTTTGGGAGTGGACCAATGAAGTCAATGTCTCACTTGGCGAACGGCTAAGGGCTGGTTACTGTTGACCCCAAAAAGTGCGCCAACAGATGCCGGTCCCACCTGCGCTTGCGTGGGCGAAATTCCAACACGCTAAGACACGTGGACGGTCTGAACGAGCGGTTCAAAGGGGGCGTGGGAGTAGCCCAACGACGGGGGACGGTGACGTTCGGAATCCGGCGGGTTATTCATAATCCGGTTGTACAATAATTACCAACCGGCGCTCGTAAATGTATGTGTAAAAGTGTATCAATTCGATTTATATATTGCAAGTAACTGAGAGAGTTGAGTAAATGTAGTCTTTTTGTATTGATTCTTGCATTAGCCCTTTGACATTATACAATGGGGGTATTTATAGTGATGCATATGGAATGGGGGCCCTTGGATGAAGTGGCACGTGGCCTCATCTTCTCAGTTTAAATGTCTGTCCTTAGGCATGGGATTTGACTTGCTAGCTTACGGCGCATTTATTGCTTGTGCAGAACCTCCATGCTAGTGACAAGACTTGACATTTATGCTCATGACAAACATTCCATCAATCATTCAAATAAGATCTGTGCAGGCGATCCCTTGGGAGAAGTGACCATGGAGGATGTTTCCTTGTGGTTGAGGCTCGCGCATCAACTTCGGGGCTTCGTCTATTCGAGGACCTCAGCTACAACAAAGAGCTTCCATGCCTCGGGCCATGGGCCTCGGTTAGAAGCAGTTCGGGTGTAACCCACCTCGACAATGTGGGCCACCTCGACAGGAATCAAACGTGGATCAGGATGAGTGGCCCACTAGCCCAGGCGGATCGGACAGGTGTGACAACACGCAACAATAGTCCCCCAAGTCCAAGTATGATCATTAATGTAATGCGTGGACTTTAATGGAGTAAAAGTTGAAAGAATTTTTGAATTTTTTGAACCCCCAAATAATAGTCCCCCAAGTCCAAGTATAGATATTTATATCATGGTTGGACTTAGAGAAGTTTTGCTGTAGGTGGGTGTGAAGATGCCGAGGTGGTTGGGAAACCGAACCTGCGAGGCTTGAATGCTGAATGCGTCTGAAGAAGCCGAGGTGGTTGGGAAACCGAACCTGCGAGGCTTGAATGCTGAATGCGTCTGAAGATATGAGGAAGCCGAGGTGGTTGGGAAACCGAACCTGCAAGGCTTGAATGCTGAATGCGTCTGAAGAAGCCAAGGTGGTTGGGAAACCGAACCTGCGAGGCTTGAATGCTGAATGGCATATGAGGAAGCCGAGGTGGTTGGGAAACCGAACCTGCGAGGCTTGAATTCTGAATGCGTCTGAAGAAGCCGAGGTAGTTTGGAAAATCGAACTTGCGAGGCTTGAATGCTGAATGCGTCTGAAGAAGCCGAGGTGGTTGGGAAACCGAACCTGCGAGGCTTGAATGCTGAATGGCATATGAGGAAGCCGAGGTCCAATGGTGATTATTGTGCTTTGGTCTCTGTGCCAATGATTTGATGTTTTGTGCTTATTTTCGAGGAAAGGTAGCTGAACCGTTACGACTTCCAAGGTGCTGGCGCCGTCGAATTAAAAATGCAATTATGAGAGCAGCTGGTGTTTCTAGAAGCAGACGCGCTGGAGAGGTGTGTGTGAGGTACGCATAGATAGGAGGCGTAGGATTTCAAAACTGTTTGAATTCAACGCCTCGGATTGGATCTGAAACGGAGGGCTTGGATTGACTGAGATTTGATCTGACGGGTGGTGTTCGTCTCGGACCTTTATAAAAGGCGAGAAAATCCCACTTTCCAGAAATTTTGAACACTTTGCATTCTCAAATTCTCTCAAATTTCCCATTTTCCGGCGTCGAGGTTGTTTGCGATTAGATTCCGACCGGTCTCCGTTTGTGTTGAACTCTTTTAGGTATTGTTTGCATAAAAAACCGTTGTTATTCTTTGTCCTTAAACAATGGAGTCCACTTCGGGTAGGGAACTTGTCACAGTAGCGTCTTTAGACCATGGGGTAGGTCATGGGGGGACGTCCGAGGTGGATAGGTATGCCATGGCTGAGGAGGACGTGGATTATACCCAGGAGTGGGGGGCTTCTAGAGTGCCCTCAAACATGACGGGGAAGAGGTTGGGGGTGCTTAGGGAGAGGTACAGTGTGCCTCATAACATAGAGATGTTAGTCCCCGAACCGAACGAGCGGGCCTGCTATCCGAGGCCCGGCTGCGTGGCCGTGAGTGAATACCTGTTCAAAGCAGGTATGCGTCTTCCTTTGCACCCCTTCTTTAGGGCTGTGCTTAGGAAATTTATGCTGTCGTCGACCCAGGTTCTGCCGAATGGGTGGAGCCAGCTGGTCGGCTCGTACTTCCTGTGGAAGGAAGTTTCACTTGGGGAGGACATACCCCTTCATGTCTTCATGACCCTATTCCAGCCCCGGGTAATTGGGAAGGAGTCAAGGGGGTGGTACTACCTCACGCCTTGGGGGGCTCACGCACGCTTTGTAGTGGGACTTCCTTCCTCTATCAAGGGGTGGAAGGAGTCCTGGTTCTGGGTGCGAGGTAAATGGCAGGCAGTGGAGGGTGACAAAGCCCTGTCATGCATAGTGCCGACCCAGTACTACGAAGCTCGTGAGTCTCCCGACCTCTGCTCGTGTTTTGAAATCAGAGTATTTACTTGTCTAACTGTTGAAGGTTCGTCTTTGCAGATAGTAGTACGAGGTTCGAGCTCAGCAGGGAGGAATTTGAGGTGATAGAGGATATTTACAAGAGGCCTCTGAAGCTTCGGTACTTCGATCACCTAATTGACAGAAGCAGATACTTCTTTGACTTCGGGCTGATGGCATCCAGAGGTATGGGGCTCCAACACTTGATGTTTAACTTGAATGTTTCTTGTGCTGATGCTGATCTATGGTGCAGATAAATTCAAGAAGAGGGAGTACCCAGCTCCAGACATGGCCTCCATCCTGAAGGCCACTTCTACTGCAAAGGCGAGGCCCCTGAAGCCCGAGTCTAGTGGAGCAAAGGAAGTTCGAGGCAGGGTTGAGCGCCTGTCAAAGGACTGCACTCCTAGGGCCATGGAGGAGGCATCTACTCAGAGGCCAGAGAAGCCCAAGGAGAAAGTCCCTGAGGAGACTAAGAAGAGGAAACTGGTGCACATCTCCAGCTCAGCTGGCAAGTTCGGGACTTCAGTGTCCCATAGGGCAGAACAGACCGGTGAGCCAAAGCTCCTTGCTGCAGCCTCTAAAGCCATCAAAATAGAGATGGTAAGAGAGGTGGAGGCTGAAGAGGCCAGAGAAGAGGCTGCAAGGAGAGCTGCGGAAGCCGCCGAAGAGGAGGCGACGAAGGAGAGGCCGGTTCGGGAGAAGGGGAAGTCTCCTAACTTCCTAGCTGGGAAGGAGGATGAGCTGGACCCAGCCTTGGTGGAGGCCCTCCCTGAGGAAATCAAAGGTACCACCGAGAGCTTTTACAAGTTCTGGACGGAGAGGTGGCAGCTTCATGCCTCGTCTTGTGATGCCGCCGACCTTACAAGGGCACTGGTGAGCCAAAGCGCCCGGACCTTTGGCCTCGCGCTTGAATGTAGGGAGGCATTAAGTGAATTTCAGACAAGGACTCACGCCTCAGAGGGGAAGGCTGCCTCCATTGCAGAGGAAGTCAAAGCTGCTAAGGCCGAGGCTGAAGAAGCCAAAGCTCAGAGGGTTGAAGAAGCGACGAAGCTCGAGTCTGCCTTGACTCAAATTGAGGCCCTAAAGAGGGAAGTATTTGAGTCACAGTGCGAGGTGGCCTTCCTGAAAAAGAAGGTGGAGGTCTCCAATGAGTACCAAAAGGTGACTGCTGAGGCTCTGGAGCAGGCAAATCTCGCCTTGGCCGGCGCTCGTGATGCCAATCAGTTTCTCGAAGGCCAGGCGAAGTGGTATATGAACGACGCCTCGGTTGCTAGAGAAGAGGCCCGGACGGCAGCGGAAGAGGCGGTGAAGGCATACATCGCCAATTTCCACACTATAGAGGAGTATAAAAGCTTCAGCGCGTACTGGAGGAACTTCGCCTATGCCGAAGTGCTGGAGAGGGCAGAGGAGCTTTATCCCAACTTGGACCTGGCACAACTTAGGTCCGAGTTTCTGGATGAGGTTCCTCAGACCCCAGCTGAGGAGGTGCAGGGTGACGAGGCAGCTGATGCCGAAGCCCCAAATGCTGAGGCAGGGGAAACAACCACTGATGCCCAGGTTGCCGAACCCCCAAGTGCTGAGGCGCCTCCTTCATCCAGCCAGGCTTAGATTAGGTTTTCCTTTTCAGTACTTTGTGTAATGGCCAGAGGCCCTCCTTTGTAATCCCTTTTGAATATTAATATAATGTTTTTCTTCCTTCATTGCTGTCCTTTATCCAAGTTTTTATGCCTCATTTGAACAAACGAGCTGGAAGTTGGTAAGAGCACGCACTAAATAACTTTAACTTGGTACTTTGACTTTAATCAGTCAACTGTATGGGCCTTGGACTTAAGAGAATGAACATAACTTAAGGAGATGAACCGTGCGGGCCTCGGACTTAAGAAAATGAACATAACTTAAGGAGATGAACTGTTGGAGCCTCGAACTTAAGAAAATGAACATAACTTAAGGAGATGAACTGTTGGAGCCTCGGGTTTAAGGTTGTGGCCTCTCCCCTTGGCGTTCAGCAAGGCCAAAAGGGAGGCATGTGCTAGAGCCTCGGAGTCCAAGTGAGGTGGCCCAGTCGTGGGTCTCGAGCCTCTTCTCCGAGGTTACGACGCATCCCAGACATGGTGGATGGTGCAGCCATGTTGAGGCTTCTCCCCTTGGCGTTCGGCAAGGCCAAAAGGGAGGCATGTGCTAGAGCCTCGCAGTTCAAGCGAGGTGGCCCAGTGGTGGGTTCCGAGCCTCTCCTCCGAGGTTACGACGCATCCCAGACATGGTGGATGGTGCAGCCATGTTGAGGCTTCTCCCCTTCGCGTTCAGCAAGGCTAAAAGGGAGGCATGTGCTAGAGCCTCGGAGTTCAAGCGGGTGGCCCAGTGGTGGGTCCCGAGCCTCTCCTCTGAGGTTACGACGCATCCCAGACATGGTGGATGGTGCAGCCATGTTGAGGCTTCTCCCCTTGGCGTTCAGCAAGGCCAAAAGGGAGGCATGTGCTAGAGCCTCGGAGTTCAAGCGAGGTGGCCCAGTGGTAGGTCCCGAGCCTCTCCTCCGAGGTTACGACGACATTCCTGCCTACTTTCAGCACCTTGGACAGATCTCGAGGGTCGGCCGAGAAGCTCTCAAGTTCCTCTACAGGGGATGCTTGAGGCTCATGTTCCATTATGCGGGGGTCGATCTCATCAACGATCGGCGCCTCCTGCATAAGGGGTGTGTCAATCATATCAACATCTTCCTGGTCAGTGGGAGCATCACCTAGGACATCCGCCATGACCACATCAGCCATGATCACGTGGACGTCTCGGGGCTCTACCTTCTTAATGGAGCTCAGATAACACTCTCGCGAACCTCTTTGGTCGCCTTTCACCATTGCCACCCCATTTTCTGTTGGGAATTTCATGCATAGGTGGTGGATGGAGGTGACCGCTCCCAATTCTTTTAGGGCCGGTCTACCCAAGACTCCGTGGTAAGCCGACCAACTGTCGACTACGAGAAATTCCATAAAGTTCATTGTAGTTTGAGGAGATTCTCCCATCTCCACTGCCAGTGTTATCTTTCCTCTCAGAGTAATGCTATCTCCGGTAAATTCGTACAATGGAGTGGTGGTGGGTGTCAATTGATGGTCCAATATCATCTTGTCAAAGGTGGACCCGAATAAGATGTTGACGGAGCTATCGTTGTCGACTAGCATTCGTTTGAGCCCATTTCGGGCTATGACCGCCCTCACTACCAGCGCATCGCAGTGGGGGTAATGAACTCCTTCGGCGTCTTCCTGGGTGAAGACAATGGGTGGTGCTTGGTTTCTTCGGGAGCTATTATCCACAATGTAACTTGTCAGAGGGGGGTGCTTAGCCTCTCTAGCATAGTTTCTTTTGGCGTTCCGTGTTTCACCGCCAACATAAGGGCCTCCAAATATGGTATCTATCTCGTGGATAGGGGCCTCATCTTGAGCTTGCCTGTTTCTTTGGTGTCTACGCCCTTCCCTGGGCCTCTCCGTGTCTTGCTCTCTTCGCCTCGGGGAGACATCCCTTTGACGAGGAGCGGCCGCCTCACGTCCATGTCGGTTGTCTTGCCTGGACGAGGGCCTGTTCGCCTGGGACGAGTTGTCTTTCCCTGGCGGGTTCCTGCCGGGAGCAGTGTGCATAGTCTCTGCAATCCGCGGTGTCGTGCCCGTAGGACCTATGGTGCAAACAGTATCCAGGGAGGTTCGGATTGGACCTATTTCTAGGTGCAAAATCTCGACCTCGGCCTCTCTCTCTACGGGGTCCCTGTTGGGCCTGTATCTGATGTGGGTCAGCGGTTGGGTTGACATCCTCATACTCTAAGGTTGGTACCGCGTTCAGAGTTGTGGTGCCCAGGGCTTGGCCGGAGTTCTCATTTCCAGGTCGGTTCATCTGGTAGTCCATGAGGTGAGAGGTCGGCCCCCTACCTCGCTGTCTCTGTGGAGGTGGAAGGCCCCTGCTTGCCCTGTTTCTATGCTCAATCAATTCTTCATTGATTATCTCCCTTCTTATCATCTCTAGTAGGGCGTCATAGGTGGTTGGGTCTTGATTCTGCACATCCCTCTAGAATAGGGTGTTCATGTTCAATCCTCCTCTCAATGCAGATAGTGCTTCCCTGTCGGTGGCTTGTACACAGTAGGTCATCTCGTCGGTGAAGCGAGATAGGAAGCTTTTCAAGGACTAACCATGCGCCTGTCTCATATCTTGAAGACGCTGAATGGGGGCCTCTCCTTCCTTGCTCACTGCAAACCTCTTCAAGAAGGTAGTTTTGAACTCGGGCCAGCTTCGGATGCTCCCAGATGGCAACCTACTATACCAGATTTCAGCCGCTCCACTGAGAGTTAAGTGGAATGCTCTGCACTTCACAGCTGGGGTGGAGCCCCTCAGGCTCATGTGAGTTTTGTAAGCGTTGAGGTGCTTTTCTGGGTCACCTCTCCCATCATACTTTGGTATTTTCGGCATGACATAGTGGCTCGGGACCTGGGTATCTCTTAGTTCTCTTGAGAATGGCAGGTTCTCATCATCATCGTCCAAGTCACAGGACCTCTGCTACTCATCAGAATCGTAATCTTCGGCCTTGTACCTAGGTTGTTGGTGAGAGGGTCCTAGCCGGTTCCTAGCCTCTTCCTCCCTCCTTTGCGACCTACTTCTAGGCGGGACAGCACGGGGGGCATTTTCATGCCTTTTCTCCGGCTGTTGGGGCATCGGAGGAGGAGGCTATGGCCTCGTCCGAGGCTGCTGAGCCTGCTGTTGACTGGGCCTTGGTTTGGCATGGCTGATTCTGTCAAAAACACTTCCTGCTCTCCTGTCTTGGGTCTTGCTCATACGGAGGTGGAAAGTTATAATGGCTCATTTGGACCTCGGAGGGTCGGCCAGATGCATAGTTGGAGGAAATGTCAACTCCCACTTCCCTCTCGAATGGACTTTCACCTCGGCCATAGTCTGGCGAGGCAGCCCTATGACTTTGGACCTCGTCCTCTTGTTGATAGTGCCCATGGGGGGCATATGGAGGGATAGGAAAACCTCCTTGGCCTTGCATCTGGGCCATGAGCTCCCTCATGGCCAAGTTTTGGTTGAATATATCCCTCATGTTGGCTGCCATAGTAGCCATTTCTCTTGATAGTCGTGCCGTCGCACGCATCCCACCTCTCCTTTGGTGGTGGTGGAGCCTCTGCCGAGCTGCTGGGGCAGCAGGCTGGGGAGGCACATTCGTATTTTCTCTTACCCTCCTTGGGGGAGTATCTTCGTTAGAACTCATTTTTTCCTTTATCAAACTTAGATTTCTCCAAGTGGTAGGGGTTCCTCCTGTTCTCTTTCGAGAACAAATCCTTTTTCTAGGGGGGTTGCCCAAATGTTTTTTTTTTTTAGCAAGCTTTTACCACAAGGTTGCTCGTGGTTATGGTAAGTATTCCCACAAACGGCGCCAATCTGTTGATCCCAAAAAGTGCGCCAACAGATGCCGGTCCCACCTGCGCTTGCGTGGGCGAAAGTCCAACAAGCTAAGACACGTGGACGGTCTGAACGAGCGGTTCAAAGGGGGCGTGGGAGTAGCCCAACGACGCGGGACGGTGACGTTCGGAATCCGGCGGGTTATTCGTAATCCGGTTGTACAATAATTACCAACCGGCGCTCGTAAATGTATGTGTAAAAGTGTATGAATTTGATTTATATATTGCAAGTAACTGAGAGAGTTGAGTAAATGTAGTCTTTTTGTATTGATTCTTGCATTAGCCCTTTGACATTATACAATGGGGGTATTTATAGTGATGCATATGGAATGGGGGCCCTTGGATGAAGTGGCACGTGGCCTCATCTTCTCAGTTTAAATGTCTGTCCTTAGGCATGGGATTTGACTTGCTAGCTTACGGCGCATTTATTGCTTGTGCAGAACCTCCATGCTAGTGACAAGACTTGACCTTTATGCTCATGACAAACATTCCATCAATCATTCGAATAAGATCTGTGCAGGCGATCCCTTGGGAGAAGTGACCATGGAGGATGTTTCCTTGTGGTTGAGGCTCGCGCATCAACTTTGGGGCTTCGTCCATTCGAGAACCTCAGCTACAACAAAGAGCTTCCACGCCTCGGGCCACGGGCCTCGGTTAGAAGCAGTTCGGGTGTAACCCACCTCGGCAATGTGGGCCACCTCGGCAGGAATGCCACGTGGATCAGGATGAGTGGCCCACTGGCCTAGGCGGATAGGACAGGTGTGACAACACGCAACAGTTACTACGGAGAGGCTCTGAGCTGGCTGTCTTTGTATGTTCGAGAGGCGCTGGCACTTGTCACATTTCTGGGCAAACTGGCAAGCATCCCTTTTAAGGGTCGGCCAGAAGTAGCATTGACGGAGAACCTTATGTGCCAGAGCCGTTCCTCCGGAGTGATTTCAGCAGATTCCTTCATGGATTTCCCTGAGTATGTATGTGGCCTCTTCGCCTCCTACGCATCGAAGAAGCGGCGAGGCGAAACCTCTCTTGTAAAGGGTATCTTCTTGTAGGACGAAGTGCGCAGTCCTTCTTCTTAACTTCCTCGCCTCGCCTCTAGAAGCAGGCAGTGTTTGCTCCTTTAGGTAGGCGATGATGGGCTGCATTCATAATGGAGTGCCTTCTATCCAGAGCATCTCTTCA